TTCTGGCCAATGAGATGTCAGGAGAACATGGCTGGGGGCTTCTGGGAAATTTTTTCCTTCCCTGGGTAAAGAGATACATATGGAGAGGGCCCTGCCCCTTCTCTCTCCTCCCCGCTTGAAGACACTATCACGTGAGAAAGCCCAGCTAAGTGCTGCCACAGCCATCTTGTGACCATGTGGAAGGCGTGACTGACACTCCTCACTGCCATCCTGGGGCTGCAGGACGAACTCTGAAATAGCCCACTTCGAGATGTATTGTTAAACAAAATAATAAATGTCCTTTACCTGTAAGCTACTTTTGATGGGGTATTCTGCTGTTTGCAGCGAGAAGCTCTCAAAAGATACAGGCTTCCTCACTTAGTAACGTCTCACAAGCGAGTCCGACAAAGAATAGCGGGTTTCTGATTGTCTTAGTAGGTCTCTTTCAACATACAGGAGGTACTCTGGCAGTTAAGATGAGGCAATTCATAGTTAAGACTCCTACTGACTCAATCCCTGAAAGCTAGAACCCTCTCCCCGCCAGTGAAATACTAGGTAGTTAGAAAGTCTTTGTAATCAACTGGTAATTAAATGGACCCTCATTCATTAGCACCCCTAAGAACGACTTGGCTGCTGGACAGCTTTCGGAGAACATGGCTTGGGGTGGTGGAGGTGCTGTGGAAGGGATAAAGTGTTTAAGTAACACTTAAAGTAATACTTAAGGTGCATAGGTTAACAGCTGAACTTCATTAAATAGAGAACGTTCATGTAATTTTTTCAGCTGATAAGTTTTAGAACCATTCCATAGTCTTGTGTCTCTCCAGTTCCATGAAGTTAGTTAATTTTCCTTGCATTGCAAATGTCAACCAACTTGCATTTTAATGTCTTTATGTCTTTAAATTTGTATGCAAAGATTGCATAGACTATCAATTTGATGAACTCCTCACAGGGATTATGTGATAAATATAATCAAAGCATTGAGATTCCATATTGACAAAAGCAGAAAGTGTCTTGAAGTGAATATTTAGAATTCTAAATTAGCAACTTTTATTCCATGCCAGAAGCAATTTTTTTCTCTGAGTCACATCTCTGTTATGGTCATAAAAATCAATGAAGAGAATTGTGAGCATTAAAGAAGTATTTAATCTGTATCTTTTCAAGAATATATCTAATATAGAAATCAAGATAAGCTATAGATATTAAATATGAAGTGTGTGTGATGTAAGCTGTAATATAAACTGTAAAATCCAGTGGTAGAGTCTGCAGATAAAAGTATCTATGAGTTTATCATTTTGTTGCATTTTTGCAATTTTGAGTGTGCAAGATTATATTATTACCTATCAAACACCTATATAATTCTTACCTTAACTCAAGATCCAGAAATTCAGCAGGCATTTTCAAGTGAATGTAAAGATTCTTAGGTTCCTCTGATCCCTGTAGCCCTGCACAGGATATACTCTGAGATGAGTGAGAGGAGAAAATAAAGAGCATATCTTAACAGTCTCAGCAGTCTAGGAAGTACCTCTCAATGCTGTGAAGGAGAGGCTTCAGTCTGAAAAGTTGTATTTACGTGTGTACAATGGGAGATGGCACACTGGACTTGGGCATCAAGAACACCAGGTATCGGACCAGCCTCAGTGGCCTAGTGGTTAAGTTTGGCGCACTGCGCTTCAGCGGCCGGGGTTCGGTTCCAGGGGGCGTGGACCTACACCACTCATCTGTCAGTGGCCATACTGTGGTGGCAGCTCACCTATAAAAAGAGGAAAATTGGCAGCAGATGTTAGCTCAGGGCAAATCTTCCTCAGCAAAAAAAAAAAAAAAAGAACACCAGGTCTCAGATCACTTTACTAGCTGTGTGACTGTGACCAGATCACTTACCCTCTCTGAACCTCACTTTTCTCCACTCTCAAGTTGGGATAATAATCTCTGAACTAACTACCTCTCTGGCTTATTGTAAACTCCAAATAAAACAATAAAAATAAAATGCTCCAAATGAAAGCAATTTGGAAACTTTAAAGTGCTATAAATGTCAGATACTTATAGTTAATATTTTGTTTTTCTCTTTAATCTCTTTAAGGTGTAAGAAATGTCAACAATTTTGTTTCTAAAATAATTCCACTTACAAAGCTTAACTATGTCAAATTCTGTTAAATAGCCCTTAAGCAACCATGGAGGAACAGCCGGGTCAGTGTAACAGGCCATTGCTGTTATAGCCTCGATATTTTCCCATAGAGTGTCCTTCAGTGAGGTAAGCTGGGCAGCTTTATTGCTTTAAATAATTGCTTCCTATAATTCTGCCCTTGTCATTCTTTTCAATTGTTCTAACTTGCCTGGCAGACATTTCCTGGCCAACTGAGCTGACTAGCTTCAGGTTCCAGTAGTGTGTTTATGAGGTCTTTTTTAGACCAAGATCCTAGGGTGCAAGACCATAGTAATTGGCTGTGCAACAGGTTTTTGGTTTTTTTTGGGGGGGGGCGGAGATCAGCCCCCATCTAACATCTGATGCCAATCCTCCTCTTTTTGCTGAGGAAGACTGGCCCTGGGCTAACATCCGTGCCCATCTTCCTCCACTATATATGGGACATCGCCACAGCATGGCTTGACAAGCGGTGCGGCGGTGCGTGCCCGGGTCTGAACCTGCAAACCCCGGGCCGCCGCAGCGGAGCGCACGCACTTAACCGCTATGCCCACCAAGCCGGCCCCAGGTTTTTAAACTGAAGTTTCAACTAAGATAGTAATTGTATAATCATTAGTTCCAAAGTGGAGGTGAGGCATTCTCCATGAGGCAGGTTGCAAAGAAACATAAACTCCCTGGACCTAAGGGTCCAGGAGAGGCTAAAAATAAGGAGTCAGAGAGCAGACGGGGAGAGGAAATTTCTTTGGTGAGGAGTGTGATGGTGCCACCTCCTTCATCTCAAAGCCAGTGAGAGGGGCTTTGCAGGCGGACCTGCTAGAGACTGCAGTTAGGTGGTCCAGAGGACTGGGCCCAGGAAAGCTAAAGCTCCATCTGTGACAGCATGGAGGGGGATGCATTGGGACGGGCCTGCACTCTCAGAGTCATTGGCGCAAGAGATGTGTGGGGTTTCCCTTGGCCCAGAGGTGGGGTCATCTTGGGAACGATCTAAATGGGCTGGAGTGAACGCTGGATTTCTAGGGACAGGGAAGAAGCTGCAAGCTCTCAACGGAATAGTGCTGCATCCACCCAAAGAGTCCATGGAAGAGGGGTCTCCATTCATGGAAACTCTGAAGGACCCAGGAACAACCCACATGAGTTGCTTTAACCCTAGGCCAGGCACAGCCAGCTCAAAGCCCATCAACTCCAGGAAGAAGTGCTCCACCTGCTGGTTTCTCCTCTCCCCACTCCAGCCCACCTCCACCCAGTAGGGTCTTACACAGCCTCCAGTGAGTGGAGGAGCCTGAGCCTAAGCCAACCACATCCCTGGTGGGAAAGTCACCTACAGACCTTAAGCTTGAGACAGCAGAGGGGGACAAAGCCTTACTTTCAAGTGAAGTTTGATGCATTTGTTTGTATCTTGTACCCAATGTTATAATTTTTGAATGAAGCTATGGTTGAGACTTAGTTACTGTAGGACTATCAGTTATCTAAAAATGAGCAGAAAATACAAGGACTCTACCCAACTTTCCATCCAGGGGCTGGGGAAGATAACCAACACTGAATATATTTTAAAATGGCAGTGAGAGACAAAAATAAAGTTGCATGTTGATCACATTTCACAGGTTGTGAATTCAAAATACTAGTTACGGTTTTATATTAAATGGGCAAAGCGCCCTTTGCACAATGGAGTCCATTGCCAGTAAAAGAGACTTGATGTGATAATGCATGTTGAGTCACTGGAAAAGATTTCAACCCTGAAGAACACAAATACTTCATTTCAGGCCCTAAAATTATCTAATCAACTAAGTATTTATTGTCTGTTATGTGCAAAATCCTATTAGGTACTTTGAAGAATACTTACATTCCTTTAGTTCAGGTTAGTACCATTTCCCACCTAGCATAATGCCTTAAACATATTAGGTGCTCAAAAATATTTTCAATGTAATTATTCTTTACCAGATTCTTAGCACCAAGGGATGCGGCAGTTTTCAACGTCGGCAACAACACTTCAGCTGAAAAATCTCCATATTTATGAAACGTGGTGGAAACCTGAATGGAGAGTGACTATGGTCTCACTTGTGTTTAACACTGTAAGGTCTTGCTGAATGGTCTAATAGGAGAGAACAGAATTTAAAGCAGAAACATATAAAGGGTTCTTTTTGCCTAACAACCGTAATGACGCAGTAAGAACAAAAAATGATTGCTCACGGGAGGCCTAGACTTGAATCTACCTGTCACTCACTAGACCTCGGGCCCCTGTTTTGTCTCCTGTAAATGGGGACGCCAGGCTGGCTACCTCACAGTGGCAGGAACACTCAAAAAGATACTATACAGTGAAATACCCTTTGTAAACTCTACAGTGCCGCACAAATGCAAGGGCTTCATAATAGCAACAGTTTAACATTTGTTGATTGCCACGTGCATCGCGCTTTAAATCCACTTTCTTATTCAATCTTCACAACCACCACAAGACCTGGCTAGGTATTATTTCCCTCCATTTTTTATAGATGAGGAAACTGACAGGTTAAGCAATTAGTTTCAGGTTATACAGAGCCACAACTTGAACCAGTAAATCCTGACTCTTACCCATGAGCTGCTGTCCAGCTTGCCGTTATTTAATAGAGTCGCTGAGATCTCATAGAGGCTCAACAAATATGTTTCGGTAAACTGCTAATTTTAAAAGTAGACGTCTTCCCACCCCGGCTCTTCCACGCAGACCCCTCCCCTTTCTCTCGCATCACCAATTCTTCCCACTCCCGGGCTCCAGCTCTAGCCCAGGCTCCGCCCACCGCCCCCGCCTGCCGCCGCCCACGCCTCAGCATTTCTACGCATGCGTGGGGGACCCGCGCAGGCCCAGTGGCCGAGCGGCGCCGGGAGACTTGCTTGCCCCGCCCGGCCCCGCCCCGCCTGCTCCATCGCGGCGGCTGCTGCCGCGGGAAAGCTGGAAGATGAGCTGAGCCTCCGCACTGTTACTGTCTCCAGCGCTAATCACAGGTGCTGTGGGTCTGGCCGGAAGCCCCCTTCCCTGTGCCCACTCCCAACTCATTCCCTGTCCCGCTCCGCCCACCCAGCAGCGACCAGGCTCTGCAGGCTAGCGGCCCGGGTAGGTAGTTTGTGTACTGTTACCATGGAGACGCTGGCCTGCCGGGCGGAACGGGCCGGCGGGCGGGGTGAAGATGCTGCTGCGCTCTGCCCTGGTCTGGAGCCGTGGAAGAGGGGGCATTGCCGGGAGAGGGGGAGCCGCTCTCCGCCCGCGAGGTGAGGCGTCCCCCTGTGGTTCACCCAGGACCCCTCTTGCTGTCGTCCGCCTCTCTGTCTTCCGATGGGGGAGAGAGGCGATGAGAATGCCCTGTGCTTGCTCTCGGGGTCGGGCCGTGGCTGTCCTTATTTCTATACACTGAGCATTTAGCCAAGTGCGTGGTGCTTAACAGAAGCCCAGTAATATTTGTTGAATGACAGAGTGGTAAACTAAGGGGCTTTGTCTAGGCAGACAGTGACCTGGCCAAGGTCACACATTGTACCTGGCCTCTTCTAGGCAACAGATAGCACCTCAATAGATAAATAAGTATATGTATAACAATATACATTAAAATATATTGTATGTACCTATAATGCATGTTATCATTCATTCCCATGAGTATCACAGCAGGTCTTCCATCTCACCCTTATTAGAATTATTTTAACTTGGTAGGAAAGCAAGTAGCACTCTTTATTTGTATCCTATTGTGTGAGTCTATAAAACTCTGATTAGTTGTTGATTTGGTATAGCTGATATTCAATAAAATACTAAAAAATTCTGTTTTCATAAAGGAAAACACCCCTCATTTAAATTTTAAAACTTATAAAACGTCTGAAAACACTGAGCAAATGTCATTCCCTTTGCTTTGCAATTTCTTTGTTAATGCAGTTTATTCATGGGAGAAATTTTCGTTGTATCCTTTTATCAAATAGCGCTTGGACAGTAGTTAACATTTTTTAAGGGCCAGCCACCATGCTAAAGCCTGTTACATGAATTATGTCATTTAATTCTCAAAACAATCCTATGAAGCAATTACTATTACTACACACATTTTACAGATGAGGAAACTGAGGCTTAGAGATGTTAGAAGCCTTGCCCAAGGTTACATAGCTGTGAATTGTCAGAGTATTTGAACCCTTACTCCAGCATCTAAGCACTTAATCACTGTCTCTTTGGATGCTCATATTAACACAAAAGTAATTCAAAACCATAGTAAGGGTCTTGAGTATTTGATTTGGAGGGAAAAGAGTATGAAGGTGGCCAGTCTTTCCCCTGTTGCAAACATCCTGATAATGCAGGGTTGCATGTATCAAGAAGGCTCTGGCTCAGGTGACTATTAGCAACAAAGGTAAAGACAAGTCTTTATAATTAGGTATAAACCTAAATGATGACTTGAAACTTTCCTCCAACCAGTAAGAAATATTTTGTTTAAAAAGGTCTCCAGTTTCAAATTTCCTACCACTGGTAGTGTTCATTCTCTAAAGGTCCTGTGGACATCATAAACTCAGGACAATGATGCAAGACAGAACTCAGCACTTTCTTCTTCCCCTTCAAAGTCCGCTTCTCCTCCTGTTTTCTTTTAAAAGGTCCCCTTGCCCTCAGACCCCCCCCTAGGTTTGCATACCCAGTGTCACCTCTGGCCCCTTCCTATCCTCTCAGATGCCAAATCCTGTTGGTTCTTCTGTTCTTGGTGCACCCCGCTCGCTCTCATCTCTCTTCCTTACCTCTATTTCACCTTCACTCCTCTATCTCTGACTTGCCATACTTCATCCACTGATCACAGCATTTATCAAGTCTTACTTCATGCCAGGCGACTTGAACTGAAGGCAAGAAAGGAAAAGGGGGCTAAATTTGATGTCATACTACCACATGGCATCAAGAATCAGATGCCATTTGAAATGAAGTCCAATATGCTTTCCTAATCCACTGTAACAAATGTCTCCAATTTAAGAAGCCATGCAGCCTTCGTCTGGATATTTCCTAGCTCAGGTCTGTATTGGAAAATGGATTCCAGTGATTATAGGAGTGTTGACCTTCAGCCATGCCTCACATGAGGCACTGGGGCTGAGTCTGGTGGGGCAACACCAGGTGCACAGGCAATTCTGATACACTGGGAGGGTGAGTGACAGAGAACTGGGGACCTTGTGGAGTACCAGGAAGGGACACCTAACTGAGGCTGAGAGGGTGGGAGAAGCATGTCCAGGAAAGCTTTCTTAAGGACCTCTATGAATTAGCTGGGTGATTTTATAAGAACTGCCTGATTTTCTCCCTTTTAATCTTTTACCTCCTTTGCATCCCGCCAATCCCTACCAGATCACATCATGCCTCAAAATCTTTTAATTTGCTCATTGGCTTTTGTTTAATTTCTTGACCTGCCATTCGGTGCTCTCTCTGGTCCAACTCCAGTCTTCGTTCCCAGATCTCCGTCTTGTCCAGTACGTATCTCCTATGTTCTTAACACTCTGCCTTGGCTCACTCATTGACTTCGCTGGAAATTCCTTCTCCACTCCAGGCCCAATGTCAGCCATTGCCACTTTCTCAAATTCAGCACATTTTCCAGAACCCAACTCAAGCATCACCTCCTCCAGGAAGTCTACCTGACACCTTCTCCCAGTCAGAAATCTCTTCCTCTTTTGTAATTACATGGTAGTTTACTCTATTTATTGCCCCCATCAGTGTCTACCTTGTATTAAAATCATTTGGGTACAAGCAGGGCTGGTACTCAGCTGGGACACACCAAGAAGGCTGCTCCAGTTGTGAAAATACTGGCATGTCTCTATATTGGCGTGTAAATAGCTGCAGCCCCAAGTCCTCTGAGTGCCCCACCTCCCCCCACCCCATCTAGTGGGTAATATTTTGCATATCATCTCTGGGCATATGTCATAACTTTTTTTGCTGTTGCTTAAGACTCTATCCACCTCACAAAATTGTTGTAGGGATTAATTGAGATGATGTACTCGAGAGCACTCTCGATTACACAGTGCTTGGTATTAAAGTAAATGTTTAACTAGCATTCCTGGTCCTTCTTGCCTGAGAGTGAAGACATGATTTATTCCTGCCTGTGTTCCCAGAGATCCAGGCAGAGGGCTTTGTACAGAGGAAACAGTCACTGCCAGCTGCGTAGATTCATTCCTGTTGTCAGGAGAATTTTTGTGAAGTTAAAATTTCTGTGAAACTATCGTATTATAGTTCAGGTATACGTCACTATATATCAACAAGCTTTCAAACTCTGAGTGCTTGTGTTTTAAGTTGGCAAAAACCGTCTATAATAAGAATTCGTAATTTAACAAATATAAAGAAAAACAAAATCCTTCCCCCCTGTCAAAAACCCACTTCGAATTTAATTCAGTTGTGTTATCAAACATTTCCATGTTTGATTTAGTTCATAATATATTAATATAATAATAATAGATTAACTGCAGATCTTACATCATTGAAACAGTTTCTCTCAGTATAACTGGTAAAGTAAGATTTGGGGGGAAGAGAGAGGAAAAGGGAGAGTGAAAATTCTGTTAGAATTTGTGGTAAAAATTTAGACACAAAGTCGAACAAAAAGATTTTTGAGCCCGTTATCAACATTGTTTCCACCAGTAGCTGATCAATCTAAATTCCTCTACACCCAAATAATTTACAGAATTCTTAGAATTTGACCTGAATAAACGTTCCTACTTCATTACTCTATGAAAGAGTATAATTTTCAATGCAAACTAAAATACAGCAAGGGAGAACCTTAGTCAGGAATGATAGTCCATTCTTACTTATCCAAAGCACTTTCTGCCATCTTTATTAGGTTCGCCAGATCCCCTTTGGACACTGCTAGACTTATTGGTGCCATGTGGGGCGAAGGAGTTGCAAACCTGACTTGAGCTCTGGAAGAAATTTGTTCATTGTGCAGAAAATTCTCGCTAAGTGATATAATTTCTTACTGCAATGGGCCTTTTAAAACAAGCAAACCTGTCATGACCACTTAAATTAGATGTTGTGGGACTGAATTTATATTATTATGCATCCAAAAATAATATATATGTACTTTATACAGATTTTTAATAATTACATTGAATATTTTTTTAATAAAGAGCCAATCATATCATATCATATATTAGAAGTAAAATGTACTAGGCTTGCCATAGTTTTTTGTTAGGTTTTTTTTTTGTGAGGGAGATCAGCCCTGAGCTAACATCCCTGCTAATCCTCCTCTTTTTGCTGAGGAAGACCGGCTCTGAGCTAACATCTTTTGCCAATCCTCCTCCTTTTTTTTTCTTCCCCAAAGCCCCAGTAGATAGTTGTATGTCATAGTTGCACATCCTTCTAGTTGCTGTATGTGGGACGCGGCCTCAGCATGGCCGGAGAAGCGGTGCGTTGGTGTGCGCCCGGGATCCAAACCTGGGCCGCCAGTAGCGGAGCGCACGCACTTAACCGCTAAGCCACGGGGCCGGCACTGTTACTTGTTTTAATGTACATAATTCTGGAGACCTTGCTTAAATTCAAAGAAAAATTCCCAGAATAGTATTGCTTATCTAGTAATTTTTTACTGTTTTATGTCAACACCTGGCCTCTCCCTATGAAAGGAATGGCATATTGTTTATAGTTTTCATCATACCCTTTTCCACAAAAACTCTTAGGGTGGGCCCTGAGTAGAACTAAACAAATGTTCTTGTTATCTGTTGTTGTGTAACAACTTGATGTATAGAATCATAATATAGTAAACCCTCTTTATTTGTCTAAGGAATCACCTGTTGATTCTACTTACGGAAATAGAGTCTGTTAGTTTCCTTGGGCATATGTCACAAATTTTTTTTTCTTTTTTGCAGAAGTTATTCTAAAATTGAGCAACTGAAATATATGAATAATTTCCAAAGCTCTGTTTCCCTAGAGATATAACATTTTCAGGGATTATAGGGGTTTTTTTAATGAACACCTAATATCATATACTAATTAGAATTAAGTTTTTAAAATCTTGACTCTTGTAAACTTTAGAGTGGTCAGAGGTGTCTTGCTAAGTTAACTAGGCCTCCATGGGACACACCAGCCTTTAAGAAGGATCTACATTCTCATGGCCCTTGTGCATGACTTTAACTCTTTAACTGAGGGAGGTAGCCTGGGAAATACTAATATTTGATACTAATATTTGGTATCTATTCATCTAGGACACTATCTCAAATTGAAGGTGATTTGAATTAATTCATTCAAATATATCATGGGCAAATGTGAGGCTGAACCTTTCTCTGAGTTTACAAATTACATTTATAAAAACAAATATAGTTTGGAACTAGGCCCCCTCTGTCTAAATTTAACCTTATACTAGCATTTTGTATGGAAGGCAGTGAGAAAGAAAAGGCAACATTAGTTAAAATTTTAACCGAATCTCCTCAGTGTTTTTTTATAGATTGGAGAATGTGAGATGATTTTCTTGTTCTAGTCTGTCTTGTTTCATGATTTATCCTTTTTCTCTCCAGGGTTAGCTTTCATTCGGGATCTCTCCCCTGCACATCATTTCCCTCAATTGCATTTATTCCCATAGGCATAACTGTGCACATCAACCTATATTTTGAAAGCTCTTCTGTTCTGATCTTCCAACTGTAACTGCCTGGTAGATTTTTAATTAAAAATTGTTTATGAATTTTCAAGTTTAATATAGGGGAATGATTTAAGCGTATATGGATGGGTTTAAGCATTCTTTTCTAAACTACTGGATGAAAATAGTTAATATTTTGTACCATATATTTGTAGGGTTTGGTGTCTACCTGAAGAACATTTTACTTTAAAAGAAAAGATGCTGTCTCCAAATGATAAAAAGTTAGAAAAGCTGGACCCGTTCTATCGACCTTCACTGTCCAAGCAGAAGACCAGTGCTGAAATCATAAGTGAAGCACGAAATGCCTTAAGAACAGTTAGGACCCAAAGACCGTTTACACCACGAGAAGACCAAAGAAAACTATTTGGACCTGCGTCTTCAAGAACGCCAGAAAGTAGACCTCCTTCCTCCTTCAGGTATATGACATTTCTCTTGCCTGTACACTCAGATACGTAAGCCCCCAGATGACATTTTCCCTTAATTCTAGTTATGGATAGTGACTTTTTTAAGTTTGAATTCTGCTAATTATACCTCTTGTATCTGTTCAAGATTCCTAAAGATAATTCCAGACCTTGGATCCAAGAAGTTGCATTGGTTTAAAATGGTTAATAGTGGTTGTCATATCAACTTTATAAAGCAATATGAACAAAGCTTTAAAAAAATCACCATGTACATTTCTTCTGTTCATTAGTCAATATTTTTTAATCCCTCTAAAAGCAATGAAAAGACTTATTAATAAAATGTTTTAAGTACTATGGTTTTTTAAAATTGCTTCTTTCTTAAGGCTTATGCATTGAATGCTTTTACTTGTTTGGGGGCTAAACTAACATATACTAGAAATAAAAGAAATGATTCTTCACAAACTAATATTTCTGTTCCATCTCCCGTGCTAGCCTCCATGCGTCCAGTTTTGAGTCATCCGATTCCAGACCCATCTCTGGCGCACGTCTCAGTCCACTAGAGCTTGTGAGTACTTTATATTACCACGAGTGCTGTGAAATAGAATTGGCCAAAAGTGCTTGGAATCAGCACTTTATATGCTGAAAACAATCACATAGACCTAAATGTACTAATAATTTAATATGAAAGCAAATTCTTTTACACTTTTTCAAATATAATGGTTAGTATCAAATGAAACATTATTTACCTATAGTTTGATAATGAAGAATTTTAGTAATATAGAGTAACCTGGCAAACAGAATGTTTCACAATATTTTTTTTTGCTTTTTTAAGAGAGTTATGCGTATATATTATTTTATTTTTAATAGTTATATATACAAATACATTATATATACATGTACATAGAGAGTCAAAGATTTGTTACAAAAAAACCTCCAGCAGTCTCCTATCACCTTCCTTATTCTTCATTCTCCCCTCCCCAGTGGCTCTCACGTTAAACTCTTTTGGCATTTACATTCAAATTTCTAAAGAACACAGTGTCTTGCTACTCTCTGACTTATGAGCTTGAGGAATTGTCTAATGACTTCCCACTAAGGAAGATGAAGATTTAACTCTTATCTATCGTCCCACATTTCCTCACAACACTTTCACCCTTTCTGTCCCCACTGCTACTCCCAATATAGATATGTCATAATTTTGGTTAGATCCCTTTTCTCTGGCTATAATTATATAAACCCTGTTTACAGCTGAGCCTTGAACCAATGATGATTAATGATGATTACTTCTCCTTCCCTGTTCCACTTTTGTTTTCCCTGGTGTTAATAATTGCCTTGCTTTTTTAGTTTTGTGTTATTATTATTTAAACCCCAAACTCTTCCCCACTGGTCTAAATCTCCTTCATATATTCAGGCACATGAGGTATTCTGTTTATCCATCTCCTTGGAGAACTTTCCACACTCCCTCTTAGACCCCTTGCCCTGGGCACCTGGCCTACAGCTCGCTCCTCTGTCTTGTGCTGGCTTTTCTGTTTCCTGTATTCCAAGTCCTTCTCTTTCTTGATTTATTCTTGTTTTGGTGGAGCACTCCCTCCAATAGCTTCTTGAGAAAGGGTGTATGGGAAGTAAATTATTTGAGACCTTAATTGCTGTTTTTTCTTTCTGGAAGTTTGTAGGGTTTTTCTCTTTGTTCCCAGTGTTCTGAAATTTCATGATAATGGGCCTTTGTGTGAGTCCATTTTTGTCCATCATGCTGGACAACTTTCAATGTGGAATCTCATGCCCTTTAGCTCTAGGAAATGTCCTTGAATATTTTGATGTATCTTATTCTCTTTTTTGTTCTTTTTGCTCCTTTTGGAATTTATTATTCAGATGTAGGATCCCCTGGACTGGC